TATTCGTGCATTGAAGTCAATCGGCAAGGTGCGAAAGCTCGGTCGATGGGTGCATCATGGTTTGATGCAGTATGACATGGAATTTTGCGCCGACATAGTACTTTCTCCCCTCACGCTCGAGCGCAGGAGATGGTCGGGTGTACTCGTTAGTATATGTTGAAAGAGCTTTTAATATTCTATCTAATGATGCCTGGCGCGTCCATTTTCGTCACCTCAGTGATCCTGCTAACAAAGCTCGATTACTATTTCATCCGACCCACCCCCTGTGCTTATCCGGAACCTTGTTAGTTGTTGGCCATAATTTCGTTTGAACTGCGAAATCTGGATCGTATCAATTGACAACAGTCGCCAACTTCGTTGCTGTTACTATAAACGCTCATTGTCAACGTAAAGATTTATCATACCAACGTGCTGCTCAATCGTGTGTGCCATAATGATTTGACATCAGTGACCCCATAGCAAGTACCAGTGAGACAGTCGCATTTAGAACCTCACGGCCTGTCAGCATATATTCCTAATATTAAGCAAGTGTGTGTGATGTGGCGGTAATGCCGTATTTCCAGGTGATGTTGGTGTGTTCGCTCCGCTGCTTCTAAACTATTTCACGCTGAAACCTGGGCAGGCGACATTTCTCGGACCAAATCAGCCGCATGCATATTTGTCCGGAGGTTCGTGTTTGATTTGCTAACCACTCGTTTTACGGGCTTCATTTTCATGATGAATCAGATGAGCTTTCAGTTTTGTATATGTACTACTTTTTTTGAACATTTGTTTATTTATTAAACGATAAGAGTGCGCCCGGATAAGGCGGAAGAGAAACAGAACGGTAACATAGGATGATCTAGTGCCGCACCCATGAATGTATGGCGGCTGGCACCGGGTAGTAACAAAAAAGAAATTCAAGCAGAACAAAGAACGGCGATAATTCCAGCAGTATCTTAGTCTTGCGTAGTCTAGTGGATCTTGAGAGGTAGTAGTCCTATTGAACAATGAGATTCACAGATTTGGCACGTTTAATTAAGGCAAAGTATAGGCCGGCCCAACTCATGCGTTCTTCAAAATTATGGAGTTAGTGAAGAAAAGGATAGGGCTTAGGATAACAGCATTCCACGGGCGTGCACATGCATGATTCCAAACCACGAACCACGGAACCAGATTTTGTGATGTTTGGTGTTCTGTAACCCTAACAATCTGAGAGAAGACTATTATAATATCGAAGACTATGGCTTTACCCGTTTACACTCGAACCTCAGTTATACGGTGTCTGCTTCATCATTTCGATACGTGATTCACGTTTTAGAGGTACATGACTGCCACTGAGATTGTTCTATTTAAGTTCAGTATCTCTCTACTCACAATACATCCCTGAAAAATGAAATCTAGTAGTAAGGTAAGTAGTACCACTACGGGACACTGAACCATGATTTGTTCCATGTAGCATAACTGCGATGTAGTGATCCACTGAATTCTTTTTTCCTTGAAAAGGAGTTCTCAGAAATCCGAACGAAAATCGGCCCATAAAATGTGATGACGTTTAGGCTGTTTTTCTAATTAACCTACTAGGCCTATCAAGGGAATAGATCTTACTCATCTTCATTACGAGAAACTCTTAACGTAACCTTTTTCACGTGGTAATTACTCAGTAAGGAACGGATTAAACTGAAAATGATTTAACTCCAGAGGGCCTTTTGTTTGAGGTTATATCCATAAGAGAAATTCGACAGATCAGTTCTCTAAATTGTGAAAAAGTGTGTATAGATATGTTCACCTGGATACATGCATGCTCTTCGAGGCGCTAAAACAAGTTTACCTTTAGTTTCTACTTAATACTTTCCTGGAAAAATCGCGGAAAGTGTTTCGCACTGTACTTCTACTCCTCCTCCCTATCATTTTGAATTAAAGTGACAAGAGTTCTTGTGAGCGAACTTTGAGTGGATGGCAAGCCTGACG